ACCACAGTGATAAGATATTGTCAATGAAAATTGCAAACAAGCCACGCAGTATTAATTAAAGATTTGTACGCTCGTATAATCCGGTTGTGATCAAAATTGCTCGGCAGTGGACAAATGAGCGATTGAAATGACAAATATTGACACAAATAATGCAACGTTGATTTTACCTTGACTTTTATACAGAAATTTGCCAAAACTCAAAGCAGCCCCTTCGAATAAAAATCTGATTAAACGTCGGAAATGTTTCGAGTGTTTCCTTCAGCGCCAATCTGTCCGAGTGATTACCGACGAGTGCCGAAGACCCTACCCTCCATGCTACGCGGACACTTTCGACTCTGACATAGTGGTTAGCCGCGCATGCGCAGCGGCTACCCACAAAAATTCTGCCGTGTTACTAAACTACCATGATCCTTTGCAATTCCGCAAGAGGTCCAATTAAAGGGGACTTTTGCCACTAGAACTAACATAATGAACATGTTAAGTACAGTCGTGAAAGAGGAACAATCAAAGACAACAGCCACAAGTACTAATACTCGGAAAACACTGCAAGGCACCGATCATCGTGTATCAAGTCAAAAAACAGCCCAGGAAGAATATGCCATACGATTTCCAGTGAAGCGTCAATGTAAAGAAGCTTCAAGCGAGTCATTGTTTGCCGGGTGAACAAGAGAAAGAAGATTTTCATTTAGCTCTAAAACTACAGCAACAAGAAATCGAAATCGATTCCGATGGCGTAGAATCAGTCAACTGCAGTGAGGACGAAGACCAGATACAATGCGAAGCAAACGCGCCTGCGGCTTTGTTATGTTTAAAAAGTCGGCGTAAATAGAACAATGGCACCGTTAATACAAATGCTATATATATTGCTACTAAATGTTAATTGTTTGGTCTGCGCCCTGATCCTATTAGACGGACGTTGATATTTAGGGATGCACCATTATATTTGCGGCTAGTTCATATTTATTTTTTTGAGTTTGATTTTTCAACGGTATGAGCTTTATCGTTTGTACAATTTATTAAATATTAAGTTCCGAAAATTTATTTAAAATCTAAGTTTACTGAAGTTCGTATGAAATTCATACATGAATTTGGGAACTTTTGCGTTCAGCTTTGTGTTGATTATAACATTTTTTTTCCTGAAATCGACATGTTACATATTTCTATTTTTAGCAAATCCTATAGCTAATGATAAACAGATAATGATAAACATAAACAGACGCGCTTCGGGTTATGTTGTCTCTTCTGTTCAAAGTTATAACAGTGCGTTCAATCATCACTTTTTTCTATTCAAAGCTACTAGAAATACATGCATACAAAGTCCCAAATAAACATATATTTCCATCATTGAAATTCTATAATACTCGTTTCTGCTGAATGATCGGAGTCGCAAAGTAAAATCCTATATCTTGGTACAATTATAAAGTCTACTCTCGAGCTATCAAATTCGACTATAATCATAATTGTGCTACGAATTGCTTTAAAAATAATACAGTTTTAGCGAAATTTCAATTGCTTTTTAAACAGATTCACCATTAAAAATAAATACTTTTCAAATCAAAATCATTTTAACGAAATCAACGAATAAATTCAAAGAGGTGTCATACATTTGTTGATAAATCCACATATTTATAAACTTACAAAATACTTGCATGCTTTAGAATACAAAATCTACCTATTTACCTGTTCAAAAACACTCCAAAAATGCTTCAAAATCGTTGATTTTTCAACATCTATTTGAATCAAAGTTTTTCGATCCGAAAACACCATTTACTTTACGTTTTGATCAATTTTACGATTGAATTTTTCCGTATATTTTCAAAACCATCCAAATGAAAAATTTTTTTTTAAAAATTTTATAATTCAAAATATCAGTTATGCTGACGCGAACCAAAATTTTAATTTAGCCAATCGCATGCTTCCAAACGTTTGTTAGTTACCAGTTGTAACTCGTCTTAAACTTACGCATGCGCATAACTTACAAAAACCCCCAACATCCATGACATAATGGCGGACAACTTTCATTTCGCATTTGCATTCCCGGGCGTAATTAAAATCTCCGGGCGGAATTAGTACCCTCGCCCGGTGCTTCACACCGGCTCGGGGATCAAACAGTAATTGTATTCATTATTTTACTTCCTCGCCTCGTCCCTCGCCACTGCTCGGCTTTGCTTACGTAAGACTTTCTATACTTCAAGGTAACCTGTATATTCGAAAAATCCTTTCATGTCTCCAGGTGTAATTGCCTCTAATGAAGTGTACATGTTATATATGCATTCAGGAATTGTTATGTTCGTACAGTCTCCAAATCTATACTTCAATAACGTACGCATCTTTCCAAACACGTATTCTGCAGGGTTGAAATCGGGCGAGTAAGCAGGCATATATACCAGTTCTATGTCAATATCATTTAAAAATTCTCTTAAGATTCTGCCTCCATCGTAGTGATGGGTTCCGCAATTGTCCATAACAATAACAGAACCAGGTTCTAACACGGGCTGTCCAGTTCGAACATTTATAGAGTCGGAAGCTTCTTCAAAAAATTTGAGAAAATCTAAGGTATCTGCACTCCAGTCAACTGTATTTGCGTAATCTACGCCAGTTAGTGAACACATAAGGTTAACCGTTGTATTTGCAGTTTCGGCGTACCTCTGAAATTCTACCGCTCTTTCTCTCATCGGGGCATGCCCGTATCTTCGCGCAGTGTGCTTTGGTAATTTTAAACCACATTCATCAAAAAATTTGAGAGTATATGGATTTTTACCATGCAGGTATTCGATGAAAACCTGTGAATATGCCATGTTTTGTAAAGTGCATCGTTCTTGTGCAATTGTTACGAAATGCGAATATATGTAATTTAGCATTGTTAAAAAACACAAGGTCAATATCGACGAGGAACTTACTTGGGGAACACGTCATATAAAATGAAGTGTAAAGTAAATATTATTATGACCCTTCGGAATCACAAAATTACTTTTCCTGTCATAAGGTCACAGCCCATGGGATTTTCCTCCGAAACAATAGTATGTCGTACAAAGTACAAGTGTCACGACTCAAGAACATAAGTTCTTAGCGGATACTAGTTTATGTCAATCATGTCTTTGTTATATTTTGCTCGGTTAAGCACTTGAAGCCTTACGTCACTAAAAGCCTAATTCGATGAAATTATTTGTAAAATAGTTTATAAGTTGAGATACGGTTCACAGAGTAATAAGTTGATGCTTGTGCTTTAAGTTGATGATAAATAGTTTAAGTTGTGAACAAGTTTTAACAGTGATCGATTAAGTAAAAGACCAACTTGACTAGTGCGTCACCGGCCTTAAGTAAACAAAGTATGAGAGCTGGACCGAGCTTCTAACGCCAACCCACACTTACAACCTACAACGCTGATTGGATTGTGTGAATCACACCATCTTGCACAGGGCGTCTTCAAGATCCCCTCAAATTTTATTATAAAAGGAGGCGCACAGCAACAGAACATTCAGTGGACTAAACACGAGAGTGGACTAAAAAGAGTGGACTAAGCACGAGAGTGGACTAAACACGAGAGTGGGCTAAACACGAGAGTGGACTAAAAGGAGTGGACTAGTGGAGTAAAAAGTATATGAAACGTTGGAGAAGCTCAACCTGACAGAACAGACAGCCAAGACGAGAACAGAAAACAAAGAGGTCCGAAAGGACGAATAATCCGAAGAGAAGAGAAGAATGAGAAAGAAGAGAACTTTAGTGAACTTTAGTAAAAACGTTGTAAAAGATCTCCTACCTTGCGCATATAGAAATAACATAATATAGACTTAACATTTGGTGCAGGATCGGCCTTACAAAACGTTTCGGAAACTCAATCAGTCCACTATTAGTATATACTCACAAGAAATCAGAACAATCAATATTACAAACATTGCTTAGAAACAGGTGCTGAAGCGACCTGATGACTGGTTCGAAAGAAACGCACGCTCTGTATTTATCCATACTTCTACTTACGGCAATGCTAGACTTTGTTTCACGTTTTGGATGTCTCTTCAAGACAGCTGTCCACAACCTCTACACTTCCCATGAACTAGAATTGAAACTACAATCGTTTTGCCCTCAGTCTGCAGTCCAAGACGAGTTTGGCAATATGTTCTTCCTCTATCCTAATATGATGGCTATGTCGAATATCTAGCCAACGAGGTACCAGTGGAAGCCTCCGTGGTCGTTGAAATACGACTACTGAGAGTCTGAGACGTATGAAAGTTTCAGAATTTACCGGATCCTTCCTGATGGTCAGCGCGTTTATAAATGGACATGAAACTGGACACATTTTAAGATTTGTATAATTTAAGTTTTTGTCATTGACATGACATGTTACATGTATATGTTATTATGTCTGTTTTTGTTCGATAATATTAAACACGAGAGTATAGCTGTTCAACTAAAATTCCTTAGGTACACTCAGCATGCTCATTAAACATGTTGCCGTAGGATAGCGCATGCATGTTTTTAATTGGGTCAGTGTATAAATTTCATTCTGACGCTTTTAGTTATGCGTCATTCGTTGAAAATATATTTTTCTCTTCCCCCGGGACAGTCAAGGGTCTCCCAAACTTGTTGTAATAGATTATAATTCTTTTTAAGCTAAAAGCTTAAATATTAGGCACATTCTTGTTTTCTCTATGTAGACTCGGTATTATATTGTTGATGAAAACCTACATTTTGGAGTTTGGTTTGCTGTGCATGGCGTTTAAAATTTAAAATGAGTTTCAGTAATATTAAGAAATATACGTGTAAAATTTGTTTGCATGAGTTGAAATATTTTGAAGAATTATTAAGACGTATATATAGGTTTAGGTTATTATTATGGAGAGATGTTTTGTCGGAAGAGCTTTATAATAATTTCCTGTTATGTGAAGTTGATCAACCAAAAATCTGAATACAATAGACCTTATGCATAATGACGTCATAACACCTTAAGCGCGCGGTTAATTATGGTCTTTGTGGTCACAGAGCGGGAAAATAATTTCAAGATGGCTACTGTCGAAAGTGAGTGTTTTGAAGTTCTTAACTGTCTTTTAAAGGCTGTTCAAGCCAACGAGGATTCTAGTTCTTTTGAGAACTCTTGCACGGATCCTCTGCGGTTGGATAACTCTGAAAGTCAGTGCACTAGTCGGCTTTCTTCGTCGAATTTTACGAGGCCATGTGGAGGTGCTGGAGGTTATACGTGTTGTGTTCCTGGTTGTTAAAGCAACCACAAAAGGAATCCAGAGCTTTCCTTTTATAGCATTCCTAGTGGTAAAAGTGAAGAGTCGAAAGAACTTCGAAAGAAGTGGATTAATCTCATTTCACGCAGGGATTTCTCTCCTACAATTGGTCATAGAATTTGTTCGTTGCATTTTCCTGGGGGACGTAAAACCTATTTAAACAACCTTCCTACGATTGTTCCCAAAGCAACCAGACCTACACCAACGAAACCTCGTTCAACGGTAAAGGCAAAAAATCGGACTCTTGTATCATGTACAAAATCTGTACCTGCTAAACGCAGACCTTTTTCAGAACTTGATGATAACAATAATTCATCACGCTCAATAGAAGAACCAGATAAAATGGCTACACCTGTAAATGAGAATATTGATCCTATTGCTTGTTTACAAGAACAAACGGAAAAACTTTTAGCAACTAATGAGAAACTTAAGGAGGAGAATGGAAGACTTAAAAATGAAAATAAATGTCAAAAAGATGAGATAAGAGGATTAACGGAGCAACTGGAACAAGAGAGGAAAAGAATACGTTTTTCAATTGAATGTTTTAAGGACAATGACATTCTCATTAGGTTTTATACGGGGCTGGAAGACTACAAAACCTTCAAAACATTGTTTGATTCATTTGGACCGGCAGTGAATAATCTGGTGTATTATGGTACCAAGACTGATTTGGAAAGGTTAAGCTCTGAAGATGTAATTAAACGTGGACCTAAAAGAACAAATTCACCTGAACAGGAATTTTTCCTTGTGTTGGCTCGCTTGCGATTGGGGCTTTTAGAAGAAGATATAGCGACCAGAGCTGGGTTGTCTCAATCACATATGTCAAGAATATTTATTACTTGGGTTGACTTCTTGCATTCAAGGTTACGTAGCTTTCCAATTTGGCCATCCAGAAAAGCAGTTGATAATTCAATGCCAGCTTCATTTAGAGATATGTATCCTTCGACACGAGTTATTATTGATTGCACAGAAATATTTATTGAAAAACCAAATTCTTTTAGAAGTCAAAGTGCAACATTCTCCACTTACAAAAGCCACAACACTGCCAAGGGTTTAGTTGGCATAAGCCCATCAGGAGCTGTCACTTTTGTATCGGATTTGTATGCAGGAAGATCAAGTGATCAACAAATTACTATTGATTGTGGAATTCTGAACTTGGTAGAAAATGGAGACTCAATTATGGCTGATAGAGGATTTGATATTGAGCACAATTTACCAGATGGAGTGTCACTAAATATACCACCATTCATGCGTGAGAAAGAGCACTTGTCAATTGAAGAGGAAACCAAGACTCGAAGAATAGCTTCTGTTAGGATCCATGTGGAGCGGGCAATTGCCAGAATAAAGAATTTTAAAATTTTAAGTACAGTCTTTCCAATTTCCATGGCAGCAAATTTAAACAAAATTTGGGTGATTTGTTGTTACCTTTCTAACTTTTTACCACCACTACTTGTAGAAAATAACAAGCTGGACTAGATGATAGTTTTTCTGCAATCCTCCTTGCTTTATTATTTATTCGGCCTAACAAGATGATTTTACCTGACATTGACATGGCTGGAGTTAACCTTTTAAAAGGCAACCCTATAGCATTTCATTCTATCAAAGGCTTAAAATTTGCCCATAATAAAGGCTAGGTCCAAAACATTTTCACATTAAATCCATTGTAGGCTGTGAAACTTTATTAAACTTTGTGTGTCCTACCCCTTAATGGTTAATCTATTCTTTAACCCATTAAGTGCCAGGGTTTCCCCAGACAAGTAAAATCATCTGGCGTTTGTTAAAAAAAAATAAGTAGGGCGCACTGGGGCACTTTGCCAGTTAATGAGTTAAAGGTATTTGCATCTATTATTTGGAATTTTTAACAGAAATATACTAGAGTAGAGGGGTAACCTTCACCTTACTCCCAATAAAAGCCTTTGAAAGTTTTTAGAGTGTTACAAAACTGTAACCATTTTGTGGCTCATGAACTCTTTAACCTATTAATTAAAGTGGCAATGCACCCCAGTGCTCCCTACTTATTTTTTTGACAAACACCAGGCGATTTTACTTGTCAATGGAGAAGCCCTGGTGCTTAATGCAGTGGTGCAGCCAGCCCAACAAATTAGTCATGCTATGCAAATTTTAACTTATTATTCATTTCTTTAGAAATTGATTGTTTTCATGGTCTATGAACACGAAATTATTTGCATAGCATGACCAAATTGTCAGGCTGGCTTCGCTACTGGCTTAATGCGTTAAGCAGCAATGCACTCCGATGTGCCCTAGTTTATTATTTTACTACATGTCTAATGCCAGATGACTTGTCAAGTAGAGAGTGTTGCCACTCAATGGGTTAAACAACAGTAATAACGTGTTGCTTGAGGACAGGATTTCATTAGTCAATGAAGTTAATCTAGGAAATTAGCTTCTCGAATTATCACAGTTGATACATATACTTTACCTTGCTCCTTCAATATTGTCTTAATTAAGTACTATTTAAAGCATGCACAGGAGTGTTTTATCATATTTAAAATGCAAGTGCGCAGCACGAGCATTTCACATATGATAAAACAGGACTACAAATGCTTTAAATGACCAAAAACATGAATACAATAGATGCTGTCTCATTAGTATTCTTTGTTGCTGATTAGTGTGGACTGTATATAAAGAATACTAATGAAGATGAGTTTTATCAGGTATATAGCCACTTCAAGTGACATATTTTGGTATAAGTAAAAAAGCCAGTAAAAAACAATTGATGTGTGTTTTATTAATGTCATTTACAAGAAGGAAGAATAAATGAAAAGTAAAATGATGTTAGTTCTGGCAGCATTTTGTTCTCCCACAAAGAAGTGTCCTTATAGATACGCTGAACATGCATATCAGCATTGGTGTATACCACAAAATCAATCCAGGGTAAATTTAAAATGTTCAAGACACCTTAACATTGATAATAATATGCATGGTTCACTTTAAGTTCTAATCCACTTTCGCTTTTTTTTAAATAAAAACCTTTGACACTTTGTGCAGTTTCATTAACATTCATTTCTTTCACTGAGTAAGGACACTTAACTTCAATGCATCCAACTGGAACACCATCTTTTATGACAATTCCATCAGGGCTACAACCCAGCCATGGCCACTGGGGACTGATGACTAACCCACAACATGTGACAAAAGCACTGCCTTTTAATGTTACATCTTGATATTTAGCAATTGCATTACTTTCATTATCCAGGCCCCACTGTACAGATGCAGGCACTTTTCTTTTCTCATGATCAACACATAAAATTGATTCAATCAGTGAAGCTGGATGGTTTTTCTTTCTATATTTGATAACTTTGCCAAAAATTGAAGCAGTAAGCCTTTTAGATCGTTCAGCGTACCATTGAGGATCTTTGTTTTGCCTCATAGTACTCAAACATATATCCTTAGCAGTGGATACAGTCAACCCAACTTTTGTTTTTACTAGTTCTAGTTGTTCTGGGCTGTAATCAGATGGAGGGGTGTAACCATTTGGCACATTTTTAAAGATCTGATCAACCAGTTGACTTGGTGGTATTTGCGTTGGAATAGGAACAGAGCTGTTGTCCAGTTTTCTATTTTGCAACTGATTACAAGATGTCTCGAAAAGTTCACATGGCTTATAGTTATTTGAGGCTATAGCTTCACGAAATAGTGAAGCGCAATTGGCTTTCTCAAATGCATTTGCCATAGACTTAATTTCTTCTGCAGTCACAGTCCGAGCAAATGGTGGAGTAGCACAATAGTCTTCCCTACTCCCTTTTACAATATACCTTTTGGCAGGTTTGTTCACATCAACTTTTTCAAATAGCATTTCTTCAAATTTAACACCTTTGTCCAGGGTCTTTGAGCTTCCAGAGGGCACACTCCATTTTTGAGGAAGTTGTGTGCATGTCAATTCCACAGGAACGTGTTTCAAATTCAGATTGACAAAGTCCAAAATAGTGTACAATAGAGCAGCTACGTGTTTGCAGCAACCTCCTTGGCCAGCCTTACAAGAACACTTAGCATATTCCACTTCACCGTTAACTTGGATTAAATGAACATAAACAGGATAGCTGACGCTCTTCATGGAAGCACCAACACGCGCTTTCACCACCAACAACAGCTTCGAGGCTTGCACATTTGGCTTGACAAAAGTACTTTTTACATAACCTTCTTTCCATAGTCCATAGCCTTTCTTCATATTTCGATAAGCTTTTGGAGCCATTTTATCAGGCATTGTACGGCTTTTTTTACAAGCTTATTCTCCAGCTTTTCATGAGTAAATCCTGGAAGTTTCTCTAAGCATTTTATCCAATCACGGTTGTCAGAATTGAAGATATCTTCACTTGTTTCCGACTCTACCAGCTTTCGAGGACATGCAGTACCTCCACATGGCCTCGTAAAATTCGACGAAGAAAGCCGACTAGTGCACTGACTTTCAGAGTTATCCAACCGCAGAGGATCCGTGCAAGAGTTCTCAAAAGAACTAGAATCCTCGTTGGCTTGAACAGCCTTTAAAAGACAGTTAAGAACTTCAAAACACTCACTTTCGACAGTAGCCATCTTGAAATTATTTTCCCGCTCTGTGACCACAAAGACCATAATTAACCGCGCGCTTAAGGTGTTATGACGTCATTATGCATAAGGTCTATTTTCGCTGTTGGAATGATAAGATATTTTATGAAATTTGAATAATTTTTGGTACACTTTCTGAGTACTTTTCTTAAGTACACGAATAAAACGACAAGAGAACAGTTTACAAGCCACGAGACAGTCATCACAAAGCATACAAAGAATATTTAAAAAATCAACTTTTAAAATGAACAGTCCTCATGGTATTGAAAGAAATATTCTCAATGTTGTAACATATGTAATTTGAGTAATAAAATATTTTCTTCGCAAATCCTAAGTTTGTATTTATAATTATGTATAGCGTGAGCGCACAGCTCAGTGAGCTCCATATATATCTGGAGTAAGAACTTGAGACTTCCGTGAGGCCAAAAAGTGAAGCCAAAGATGGCGGATATTGAAGCGCTATAGTACGTCAGTTTCAGTCTTCCTATATGTGCGCAGTTATCTAAATTCGTATTTTTTAACTTTATTTTTTCCTATTTTGAGTAAAAATGAGGGGAATTTCAATGAGGTATAATACTAATGTTTGATACTGAGATACTTTTATATTTTAATTAAATTAACCAAGAAATAAGCGATTTCTCACTAAGAAAGCTACGGAGTGGCGGGTTGTTGATGTTTTCGGCTTTTCGCAAATCACTGACAACATTTACTACAGAATATGCTTCCCAAAAAAAGATAGATACTAGTAAAACTTTTCTGAGTTCAATTCATCTGTATCAGGCTTTCATTCATGTAAAAAGTAATAGGAAAGAAAATTATGCTGAAAAACGTACGGGTTTGAAATATTGGCTACTAATATATGATTATGAAATTTATAAACAAGACTCATAATGCACGTATAAAAGAAACCTTAAAAAGAGCTCTATTATAGGAAAGCTAACCAAAAATAAAGGAAAACCAGAGTTAAAGCGTTTCGAAACAAAAAACGAAACAAAAAACTGAAACATGAGGTGAAAATATATGGAAATAAATCAAAATTAAAGGTATGTGCGTAGTTGAATTTATGGCGAAAAATGCATATTTACTCACACTTACAGTCGGAAAATGCGGCACCCACATTGAGTAAATGCAAAGAATCACATTCTCAGTAAAATGAATAAATTTTTTCCATTCTTGTGCTCGCAAATGATGAAAAACACGAAAATCTGAGGGTTTCGGGAACGTCACTCCCGGTCAAAAACAATGGAAATATTGGCCGCGCGAGTTAGGAGACTGAAACTGACGTACAATAGCACTTCCATCTCCGCCATCTTTGGCTTCACTTTTTGTACCCAAAGTTCTTACTCCAGATTATTTGGAGCTCACTGGCACAGCCCTCTCACGTAAGTTGTGTGTAAGCTATGTTGCAATAACACACTTGTGCCATAACATCATTCGCGTGGAGGCCGCGCATACTTTCGGTAAAAACCGACTGTTCCGAGAAAAACGGTCTCCCCAAGTTGCCTTTACTTAAATCCTTCACAACTCTCATCCTGGTCGGTCTTTAGTGGGTATCACACAGCGGATGAATCGCGCCATTCGCCCTCCACATCATCATAGCCGTATCAAATAGCGAACGATCGACCTAGTTCAGGGCAAAAGAATTCACAGCATTTAGGGTTGTTCTTGTTGCAAACCATTCGTAGAGATTGCGGTCGCAGGCACTCCATGTAAGCACACCATTGCTGTGTTTTCTCGTGCAATATCTGTTCGATGTGCGATATTTTTTTCATGCTTTCCTTTGTTTTTTCGGGCGAGTATGTTCAGGTTCGTCCTGTCATTAAAACATATTACCAGTAATATACATATATACATATATATATATATATATATATATATATATATATATATATATATTATATTATATATATATA